TCTCCAACGCTCAACACACGCTGCTCGTAAGCCTTATTAACAGCTTTATTGTTGCCATCAAAGTTCAGTGCCTCTAATATTCCAGAGAAGTTTGATTGATCACCACGTAGGATCTTCTCGTTAAACAGCTTGTTTATATAATTTTTCATGCAATATTCCTTTATAACTTTAGCCTCAACAGGGATTGCTTCATGACGCTCACACAATAAGCTAACAATGCAGTCTGCTGTTTGCGGTGGAGTATAGTTTTCATCATTGAAATTTGCTGGCAAGCCTATAAGTCAGAAAAATAAAATATATGTAGATATGTAAAATTTTCTTGCTGTATCATAAAATATAATTCATGTGTCTATTCTAAAACTAACTTAACAAATACTTACCAGGAAAGTTAGGATTCAGTAAATCTTTTCTGTTAGATAACAGAGCGTTGCTATATATAAGATCGCAGCAGACCAATAAAAGATGGTAAGAATTAACAAGATCGTCCGAGATATCAGGAATTGCACCTTTTATGCATATAAATAGTGTCCAACAGAATTCAAAGACTCTGGTAGGTGTGCAGGGTACTGCTTTATGTCTTCTAGATCTAGGCGGTCTAGAGATATCCTCTCTTGGATCCTTGAATATATCGGTAAATATCGGCTGGTACTTTTTAAATATGACCATAGACACTGAGAAATTTGCTTCTAGCTTTTGTATCTTGGTACGAAAGTCCTGCGGCATATTAGCCATATCCGCCCATGACTTGCTCTTTGTAAAGAATTGTATCAATGGAAGATTACACAATTGCAAGAGGCGTGTTAGCGATACACAATTGCCTTCCACATTAGCACCTGTTCTCCCAACTGTAGGTGTGGAGGACTTTCTACAAGCTACATACAATGCACATCCTATCCAATGTAACTGATCACCCTAGAAAAAAAGAAAAAAAAAGTTTTTTAGACTGATGAAATATATTAACATATTATTACGGAACAAAGCAAGAGGAAAAGAATTGTCATTATTATTAAAAAATTAATAAGATTCTCCAAGTTACTGTTTAAAGTAAAAAATTTTGAAATATTAGAATTTATATATATATATATGACAATATTTACAATTAAAAATATATAAAAGTATTACAAAAAGAAAAATTGCCAATGAACATCTTTAACACAATCCTCTGAGATTAACGCGTCAGATTTTTATCAATTGCGTTTTAAATAAATCCTCGCAAATGCGTAGTATAGAGAATCACTCGAAATTAACCACTTCCTCTCTTTCTTTCTCGCGCGGAACATCGATGATTCAAAGTAGTTGTATTATCGCCATCCGAGTGTGTCGCGAAACATTGTATCGTTTCGGCGCTTCGTACAGTCAGATAATCGTATAATAAACGCATTTTAATTGTCGTGCCGAGAGATCAGTAGTTTATTATTAGGGTAAATGCCACCTCGAGAGTGTAGTTCTGTCGGATAGTTTCGTAGGATCTCCAGGCCTCGGACGCGGCGGTCGCGTCCATATTCAGCTTCTGGCAGAGATCCTGGTGCTGACTATACGTCGAATCCTCGATATCGTCCGACTGCCCCATCTTCCGCGCCGTAATTTCCAGCCAAGGAGAGCTCAGACGAGAAACCGCGGGGAAAACTCTCTTATACCGCCATACAAAAACTTCGCTCCGCCGTGTCGTCGAGGTTGCCGCGGGGGCTTGGCGGGAAACGACACGAGCGCCGACATCTTTGCCATGTTGGCGGGAAACGTAGTAGTAGGTAGTAGTGTGGCATCGCTAATAGTGCGCTCGCCTACCGCGAGCGAGCGTTCGCGGCGAGAAGGATTTTAATTTCCTCTCCTTCCGGCAGTGTTGTTAATTATTGTTATAACATTTTCGAATGAAACAGGTTTGATCGATCCAAAATTGATTAATATAAGATCATTGCCAATAAAGGAATTCATAATAAAATAATGATTAATTGATCCGGGATGGATTAAAATCCGTTCATTAGCGTTCAAAAACGCTATTAGACGGGCCAGGTTTTTTGTGCACGTGTGACATAACGTCAATGACGTTTACAGTCACGTGTATGTGACGGGCGTCTCAGTTTTGGCGGGAAGACGAGTTTAGCTACGTAAATAAATAGATAAATAAATATAATTTGTGAATATTACATTTTGTTTTACGTTCTTAATTAATTTCTCAAAATTTTAAAAATAACTTTTGAAAAGGATTAAAGGGGGGCCCACACAGGATTTTATTTCATTTATCAACTACTTTATTGATACCACATTCAATGCGCATGCGCGAAGAAACCTGGCTCGTCTAACATTGGATGCATTCCGTTTCATGCATAATGCGCATGATGCGTTACTTATCCTTGTTTAACATTCAGTGAACAACAAGGATAAGTAATGCATCATGCGCATTGTGCATGAAACGGAACGCAGCCATTGTCTTCCGGTTGTGCGATGAAAAGAATTCGAGAGACCAATGCCTCGGTTAGGTTAGGTTATACGATCTGTTAATTCACGCGTTCTATCCTTCTGCATTTTGTGTTGCGTTTAATTTTAATTGATATAGCCCTGATATTATCGTTTCCTTTGATACTTTTTATTTTATTTTCCATGGCAAGTACACAATGAGTACCTCCTACTGCGCCGAATTATATAGGCGATTGAGTCATTGAACTTTATACATATTAAAGTGAACTTTCAAGGGTAGAGGGAAATGACCCAATTCGTAGAAAAGGATACATACATGTTGGGTGAATCGCTATCTTTGTCAGAGATTCGCTGATTGGTCCATAATATTTAGTATCATAGCCAAAAACATTGACTTTATACTAGATATATATTTTACAAATTGAAAGAAGAATAAATAATTCGCAACTATTTTCACTATACTATTTAAATTCTGGCCCTGATTTTTTTCTACAGGATAGTATAGGAAAGTCCTGATAAAGCTCACTGGGTTGAGCGCGACTCGTGCTATCGCGCATGCGTAGGATTTGTCCCGCCATTTGGAAACATCAGCTGTTCATTTCGATAGAGCGCTATCAGTCTTTGATAATATTGAAAAATCATTAATATATTTTTATTTGTATATACATTTTCATTCGTATACGATATATAGTATTAATTAAAACAGAATATAATTTTAATATGGTATAGAGACGTGTAATAATTCCTGCGTGATGAAATTTGTCCGACAATTAAGCGCGCATTCTTTCGCTTAAGCACATCAGTTAATTACACAATTACTACACGTTTGTAGAGATTAAAAAGAGTCGGTGAGTGCGTTTATTTAATTTTATTTATTTAATGTAATGAAAAACTTTTATTAAAGCATTCGATTGTATAGTTCGTTTTCTTAAGTGTACTGAGGAGTCCCAACCTATATTAGTTCCGGTCCACAGTCTTTCCGGTTTTCCATGTCTATTTAATATTCCTAAAATTTATATCAAAACATACGTCTAATGAAATGTTTACATATTTTATTTCTATTGACCGCTTCTAATAATAAAAGCGTTCTTTTCAATGATTTTATCATAGAGATAAGATTAATATAATTCTGGAGTGATCTTTATCTCTCATCGGACAATTTGGTTTTGTTGCCGGGCGCGCATTTCAGAATTTAGAACAGAAGCCATTGGTTTCATAAAGTTAATTTAATTTTCTCAACAATATAAATATGATATTTTTATAAAGACACAAACACACACACAGCGATTTTATGAGAAATATTTATAAAATTATATATATGTGTGTGTCTTTTGTTATACATTTAATATACAAAAATTAAGAAATTGATAGACAAATTTTTATTACATTTTTCCATCTAAAAGGACATACAAAAGACATATCTACACAATACATACACATATGTATTAGAATAATACACCTGAAAAAGAAATTGATCTATCTAATATTGACTTATATCAAATTGTAATATATTTAGACGTATATATAAAACGTCGATTTTTATTTTAGAGGAAATCATTGGAAAGAGATCATTTTTCATTGCGACTTCTTTATATATCCAATATTTAAAAGAGATCATAATTAGTTTTTATAATAAAAATTAATTTTTTTAATTAATTCTTTTTCCAATAAATTGATATTTTTATATGAAAGGTAGATGTACTCCGATGAATCTCGTTTATCTATAACGCGTTACGTGTAACAAAAATATGTCGCTCATTGTTAATTCCGGTTCTGACAAAGGCAAACTTTTCGGTCTATTCAGGAAGACATAAATGAGCGGAAACGAGAGTACAATAAAGCGCGCTGACACAGAACCATAAATTTTTGTTTGCCATATCATGCGTAATAATTACGCGAGACACTCATCGTATGATACATATAATCAACCAAGCGTAATCTATACAAAATAAATAATTGAAATGTGTGACTCAAAGATGCAATGTATGATGAAAATAACTCTAATAATCATTATTCCGCAAAAATATTTTACCGCGAATCGGTGCATATCTTATTTAATTTTCAAATTTTCTTATTTTTTTCAAAAACGATACAATATGATTGATAAGCGACATTAAAACAGTTACAAATTAAAATAATTTAACTAAATTATTAGATCGTGTTTCAATGAGCAGACAATATTTTTGAAAATGTTCTTAAAAATTTTTGAAAAATATTTTTATAAACATTAAAATAGTGGATTGAGGCCCTTTTTAATCATTAAAAAAATATTTATATTAACATTTGCTATTTCAAACGAATATTTCAAAATAAATAATTAATAAACATTAAATAAATATTTTTACGATCAATTGTACAACGTACAATTAATGAACAATAAATATTCAAAATTCATTTAAAAAATATTGTCTGCTCATTGGGATATTAATCGCGACTATACTCGATCAGCTATTCGGCTGAATACTTATCTCATCCGAGCAGTTTATATTTGCGGACAATAGTCTGTATCCCGTATGATGTATTCTATGTTATCATCTGTTATGATATTACGATCTAACATTTAACATATGGTTTGCAGGAAAACTGGTTTCTGTCGCAAGTACACGTAACACATCCCGATGATAAATGTTCCTCGTGCGCCCTCATTGTGCCTTTACCAGGGTGCCTGCATGAATCTAAAGTAGATCGAACATTATGCAAGACGATGATCGATATAAAAGTATAAGGTGATCTCAAAGAGAGTGGTGAGTTATAATATGCATCCAGTTTATCCCAAATTTATCCTATTTATGAGCACGTTATTCTCACTTCAAGATATTTTCACTAGCGTCTTGTACGCAAAATCATTTTTTTCTTTAACTGTTATAATTATTCCAGGACACTTTTATATAAACAAAAGTCAGCGGAAGGAAAATATCGTGTAAACTATGCTTAAAGCGTAAGCGAGATTGGTGAGTCACAGTGTCGTCGAGCCTCCAGTTATGTCGTGGTATTCGCGCCACGCTCGCATCTCTCTCCGCATCTTTCTACGACTCTGCGCTATTATCGTCAGCCTGGGTACCAATAAAAGAGATCGACGAGACCGGTGCCCGGTTAGTATTCGCGTGTCTCACGCGACACGTGTCACGAGTAAAGCTTGTTCGACGGCAATTTAAAACGTAGAGATAAAGAGCTTCATTTCCAAAGCCAATTTCCGAGATAATTGTCATGTCCATATGACATTCGGCATTCACAACGTGAATAATAGATTGAACTTGACCCATATCTAGAGGACATTGAAACGTCGTAGTGTCCTGCGTCCAAGCGGTAAATCGATCGAGAAAATCGTACAGATCGAGGACATTTCGAGGACTTCACGAGGATTGTATTGTCGCGCTTTCTCCAGGTGGGTGTCAATCATCACTTAACTGTATTCTCTCTTGCCTTGAAAAGAGTATTATTGTCGAAAAATATCGAGAATGGATTTTTACCGACGTAGATACATGTTTATATATAAATAAAACTCCAGTTTTGTTGATTTAAAAGAAATAATGAGATTAAATACGATAGAAATGCTCTATCTTAATTAATTATATTAATATAACGTTAATTATATATTAATGCTATGAAATGTTTCTGAAATATAAGGACTTTAGATTATATATATATTTAATTTCATTCTTAAAATAATTTTGTATCAAATTTATTGGCATAAAAACATTAATAGAATGAGTAGTGATGAAATATTAGTGATGAAAACAGTAATTAAATATATCTTTATAAATTGTATTAATTAATATTATTGTATATATTCTTCGTGAGAAAGATTTTACGCAGCGCGGGTCCTTTCTCTCTAAAATAATTAATTCAATAATAACATCAGTACGCTCAGAATAATATCAATTAGGCAGGAAAACTGGCAGATAAGAGCCAAGGCGGGGGTATTGGTACACGAACTTATTATTATTAAGTTTTATTAATAAAAGTGCATTAAATCCGAAATGTACATTTTTGAAATTTTAATAAAATTTGACAATAATAAATTTGTGCACCAATACTCGCGCCTTGGTTTTTATCTGCCGGTTTTGTCACTTAATAGTTAATTTAATTATCCCTCTTCTGTTAATCAATTATGAGTTGTCGTAATCTGTAATTATAAATACATTATCTTTTTATACATGAATTGCGAAGATTTTATAATTACTGAGGTAATTATTTTGAATTTCATAATTAGTGCCAAATTTCATAATAATTAATAATTACCATCGACCGTATTTAATGAAAAGCGTTTCTTTTGAGAATTGATGATGACATATAGTCTTATTTCATATTATTATTATTTATTTAGCGTGTCATACAAATTGAAGAAGATATAAAAAGTGCAATATGTGATAAGCTATTTATGCTGACTTTACTTTCACATATGACCTTCGGGATAAGATCAAATCCTGTTTAAAAGCGACGTTTTGATAACTAAGAGTAGTAGATATTTTTTAAAATGAATTTTGATTATTATAAAGTAAGAGAACTATGAAGTAACAGTTATAGTTATAATAAAATAAAAATGGAGAAAAAATCGGATAAAATAAATATATCGCAAATTTAATCGAAAAATTTAGTTTCCAAATGCTAATTCTTATGTCATTAATAGCCCCTTCATTTTGAACTTGATGCACGTTGAGATGGACTGTTGATTATAATTGACTGCTCTATAATTAAGTAACGTAGTTTTTTAATTAAAATGATTAATTAATTAATGATTATTATTGAAAAATTCTAGAGTAAAGTTCCTTAGAAAAATAGCTAAAATGAAAATAATTGGCTCATTGAACTTGGTTTGTAAAATAAATAAATAAATAAAAATGTCTAATCTTTATGACAAAGGATTGAAGCCGGTGTAATTTTAGTGAGTTTTCAATTTTCAACGTTTATACGGAAAAAAATTATGATAAATATTGCGTTTTATATATTAACGAACGAGCATAAAGATTATAATTGCATACATTTAATATCCAAAAATTGTATCAATAGCACAATCGATGGTTGTTTTATGATTTATTTTTACAATTATCGTGAATTCTATTGTTTTTTTTTTTATTATAACATGAGATTTATGAGATTTCATGACACGCAGAAAATATATGTCATTGGATAATGTACATATTATCTAGTTACGCGATGGGAAATACATATAAACATCAACACAACTGTCAGATAAGCGCGAAAAAAAAAACGGGTTCGACCGATTGAACATAATTGTGGAAATAGCTCATCATTATTTGACTTCAAGCTTCAAGGCGGGAATTCCAGCTATCAAAAACGTCACTGTTCATATATACTGCATCACATATACTACATCGTATGTTATCACATATACTACATCGTATGTTATCTGAAAACAGTAATTAAATATATCTTTATAAATTGTATTAATTAATATTATTGTATATATTCTTCGTGAGAAAGATTTTACGCAGCGCGGGTCCTTTCTCTCTAAAATAATTAATTCAATAATAACATCAGTACGCTCAGAATAATATCAATTAGGCAGGAAAACTGGCAGATAAGAGCCAAGGCGGGGGTATTGGTACACGAACTTATTATTATTAAGTTTTATTAATAAAAGTGCATTAAATCCGAAATGTACATTTTTGAAATTTTAATAAAATTTGACAATAATAAATTTGTGCACCAATACTCGCGCCTTGGTTTTTATCTGCCGGTTTTGTCACTTAATAGTTAATTTAATTATCCCTCTTCTGTTAATCAATTATGAGTTGTCGTAATCTGTAATTATAAATACATTATCTTTTTATACATGAATTGCGAAGATTTTATAATTACTGAGGTAATTATTTTGAATTTCATAATTAGTGCCAAATTTCATAATAATTAATAATTACCATCGACCGTATTTAATGAAAAGCGTTTCTTTTGAGAATTGATGATGACATATAGTCTTATTTCATATTATTATTATTTATTTAGCGTGTCATACAAATTGAAGAAGATATAAAAAGTGCAATATGTGATAAGCTATTTATGCTGACTTTACTTTCACATATGACCTTCGGGATAAGATCAAATCCTGTTTAAAAGCGACGTTTTGATAACTAAGAGTAGTAGATATTTTTTAAAATGAATTTTGATTATTATAAAGTAAGAGAACTATGAAGTAACAGTTATAGTTATAATAAAATAAAAATGGAGAAAAAATCGGATAAAATAAATATATCGCAAATTTAATCGAAAAATTTAGTTTCCAAATGCTAATTCTTATGTCATTAATAGCCCCTTCATTTTGAACTTGATGCACGTTGAGATGGACTGTTGATTATAATTGACTGCTCTATAATTAAGTAACGTAGTTTTTTAATTAAAATGATTAATTAATTAATGATTATTATTGAAAAATTCTAGAGTAAAGTTCCTTAGAAAAATAGCTAAAATGAAAATAATTGGCTCATTGAACTTGGTTTGTAAAATAAATAAATAAATAAAAATGTCTAATCTTTATGACAAAGGATTGAAGCCGGTGTAATTTTAGTGAGTTTTCAATTTTCAACGTTTATACGGAAAAAAATTATGATAAATATTGCGTTTTATATATTAACGAACGAGCATAAAGATTATAATTGCATACATTTAATATCCAAAAATTGTATCAATAGCACAATCGATGGTTGTTTTATGATTTATTTTTACAATTATCGTGAATTCTATTGTTTTTTTTTTTATTATAACATGAGATTTATGAGATTTCATGACACGCAGAAAATATATGTCATTGGATAATGTACATATTATCTAGTTACGCGATGGGAAATACATATAAACATCAACACAACTGTCAGATAAGCGCGAAAAAAAAAACGGGTTCGACCGATTGAACATAATTGTGGAAATAGCTCATCATTATTTGACTTCAAGCTTCAAGGCGGGAATTCCAGCTATCAAAAACGTCACTGTTCATATATACTGCATCACATATACTACATCGTATGTTATCACATATACTACATCGTATGTTATCACATATACTACATCAGCATAACATTCGATAAAATGCATTGCTACGAAAGATATCGGGAAACTTAGTTTTGATTATTTTATTTTATTATATATGTGCAGGGTTTTTCCTTTAAACATTGTTCCTTTTTTTCAGTTACAAATTTCTTAATCATTGATCTTTTGCTTTAGCAAAAATTTCCTTAAAGAGATTATCTTTTACTGAAATTTATTAACATGCGATATTAAATACCCTTGTAATTGATGTTTAAATAAATAATTCTGTTAGAAGATCATATTTAAAAATTATACAAAGAATAAAATGTTCTTGCTCACATAATTTTTATTTTAAATATCTTCGTTTTGCTTAATTTACGTAAATCGTAAATTTTTGTTAAGGTATGTAATCGTCTTCAACTTAATAATAAAAAGGAAAAATTATAAATAAAGATAAAATAGCAATTTTTTCGGACATCATATATAGTATCTATGATCTTAAAAATCATTCGTATTAGGATATTTTCATATTAGAGTATTCTTATCGGGGATCAAAAGATATCTTGGGGAAGTGGCTTAAAAAAGACCGCATAGAACGTTTTTATGCAGTTGAACCCTAATCTATGGTACGTGTCTGCCACTCCCTTGGGAATTTCCAACGATGTTATATGTGATGCTTTTACAATCGCGTCTTTCAGATAATGTCTTAGATGTCTACTGACGTACCCAAAGGCGTTGGGTTATTCCTAGCACATAGCTGCATTGTTCCAATGTTAACGAGTACAACAGAAGTATTGTAAATTCATTGATGGTTGACATTGACATTGATTCATTATACGTTCCAGACAAAGGGACATCTTGTCTGAAAAAATATTCAATGCAAAAATACTCGAAAACAGAATATTATCCCAATGAATACAATTCCTTTTTTTTTTTTAAATTAATTCGGATATCTTTTTTACTTTGGAAAACAGTTTTTTCTATTGTAATGTATTTATATATTATTCCGAAATATTTATTTCTATAAATTATTTTTAATTTGTTTTTCTTTTTACAATATTTGTTGGAGTAAATTATATAAAACATGGACGAATCGTATATTTTCTAAGCAGCCTAATCAATGTTAGAATATGTTTGCGGCTGTTTTTCAATAATCGTGATTACTAGATACGATAAATACGATAGATTACGACAGAATAAATAGTTTTACGTTGAACGCTAGATGAATGATTGTTAAACTATTAGCGTGATGGACACTGAATAAAATTAGATATTCATTTTCTTGTGGTTGCGCTTGGTATGCACTTAAGATTATACCTCATCAATTATACAGAATATGTAACTTATCTAATGTTCTTTCTGTTGTAAACTTTAAGACAAATTTTTGGAAATCACTTTCATTATTTCTTAGCAAAAATTAATCCCCTGTTCTTACTGCTTAATAAATTTTTAATATTAAAATGTTAAATATTTATTCCGAAGCATCTTATATATTTCAATCTAAGATATTTAAAAACAATTTGAAATTACGTTTTAAAAATATTATTAGACATAAAAATTCGATCGAATGGATTAGAAAAAATAAATGACTAACTTAAATATAAAAGTAATAAATTAAATTAAAAATAAATAATAAATTAATAAATTAATAAATTAATAAATAATAAATAAATCAATGAAGATGTTTATCAGTCTGTTAACATGATACATTGAATGCGAGCTTTTTGCGCATATTTCCTGTTTGTAGATATATCTATCAAAGTATGTTTCCTGACTGGTTTTGTCTCATTAGTCTCATCTATCTTTATAATTAGCGGAATGCGTCTGGCATAATTGATTATGATATCCTAAATCAATGATATTTTGAATGTCACTTATTGTTAGAAATGCGAAAAAGCATATATATTTTATACACAACGATACAACAATAATACATTTTTGTTTTGAGCCTCTTTTATAATCACCGACCATATATTCGTTATTCTTGGCGATATATTATAATATCATTGGCAACGATATGAAATATCATTGTTATCGCATTTGCAAATAATAATGATATAATGGCATTTATCGTTCGCTTACACGTGTATAGGATGTGAGCAATTATGTGAACTATATGTCATTAGGTGTTATTATATTTACGAGATTCCCCTACGTTAATTGTTTGCAATGAATGCAAACTGTATATTCATAGTTCCAAGCTAGTAATTCTCTCTTTCTAATTCCGCTATCGCTGTCTTTTAAAAAGAAAGACATATATATTAAATAGTTTTAATGACTTACTACGAAATTATCTAATCGTCTTATCGAATCATTTGAATCTATATAAGATGCAAAAAGACGAATAAAAAGCAATACAGAAAAATTAAAAAATTTTAAACCAATTCCTCTGATATCGCGCGAAGATTAATTAATATTTTCATAATGTGTTACAGAATATATTTTTATCAATTTCTTTTTTTATTTATCATCCTTTTAGAAAATCAATATTACAAACACCTGTACCTTTCTTGTAGATACTCGAAAGCATGGCAGGAACGTGGTTGATGTTTGGTCTTCTGGTGTTGGCTGGTGGTCAGATCGTCTATCCGGATCAATACCAGAGGATGACAGTTGGCACGAATCGTGCACCTGCCCTAGGATCGCAACCTGCTAATTATCCTGCATTGCAAACAGTCAGCAATAGTCAGTCAGTTCAGATCAAACAATTCAATCAAGAGTCCGCTCCGCGATACGGCGTTGCGATTCCAGAAACGGCACAGATTAATTCTACAACTCGACTACCTTTTTATCCCTCAGTAAATCCGACACCTAATCCGACAGTTAATCCATTATTGGAAAATTGGGATAATCATGTAAGTTTTTATCAGTTTGTTATTTGCATGTTATTTTTGCATGCGCAGCAATAACAATTCGTTGTGAAAATAAAATTAATTGTAAATTTTTATGAATTACATTTTAAAGGATATACAATCTGCAGAAATAACACCGTCACGCTCTAAATAAGATTGCAAAAACATTTAATCGAGAGAGAGAGAGAGAGAGAGAGAGAAAGACATTATGCTTCTTTTAAAAAATTTTCTCATATATTGTTCTTTGAAAATATTAATTAAAGAAACAAATAATTATATGTTCGTTTTCCATTGATTCTGAAACATTTGTGTAAAAATACATTGTCGATGTATCGTTGATTTCAGGTGAACAATATTATAGCTAGAGGGATCATGAAGTTCTCTTTGGATTTGAATAAAGCGATATACAATACTAAAGGCACATCAGTGGCTAATCAACGTGAAAACGTCATTTTTTCTCCACTTAGTGTTGCTGTTGCATTATCGTTAGTATTGTTGGGTTCCGCTGGCAGGACTTTTGACGAAGTATCGCGGGTGCTCGGTTTGGAATCAGGTGTTGACATATCTCAACACTCGGAAATAGTTCATCAAACGTTTGGCCAATTGCTGAACTTCGCGAACTATAGAATTGAGGGAAGCAATAAGCCGCGCGTAGATTCCGCCAGTGGTGTTTTCGTTCAGGTACACATTCAATGTTTTATTTCTATTATATTGGATAATTATATAAAAATTTATACCCAGTGTAATGAAATATCAAAATCAAATCCATTATCTAAATCTATAAAAAATATCTTTATCTCAATATATCTCAAGCACATATATTTATATACACACATGAAATATTAATGATATTCAAATTACAAATGATTGAATATGGAAGATTTTTTGTAAATTAAAATTCAAGCATGCAAATATAGATAACAAAATTCTTCATTTAATTCTAAAATGTTATTTTAATAAATTTAATGAATTTTTAATTCCTGTTTTAGGAGAGATATCCGATTCGTCCTGAATTTCGCGCGATTAGCATGAACGTGTATAAGAGCGAAGTAATAAATTTAGATTTTGAAAGAAAAGGCAAAGAAGCTGAAGACGTAATAAACAATTGGGTAAAGGAACGGACGATGGGAAAGATCGATGGTATATTGAACAGTGTACCAGATCCAACGACCATGGTGATTCTGTTATCGGCGCTCTACTTCAAAGGAGAATGGAATCAACATTTCTTAGAAGGCATGACACAGAAGTAAGATATTTCTATTTATTTTTATTTCTATTTATTTGGACCGATGGCGATCGAGAAAACGATTCTGTCTTCAATTTTTTAAATAATATATTATATTTTCTGCTGCAGAAAAGAATTCTTCGTTGAACCGAATGACACGATCGGGGTAGATATGATGTACAATGGCGGTAATTTCCCCTTTTACGAAGACAAAACATTAGGCGTTAAAATATTGGCTCTACCCTATAAAGGCTTAGAGGTAATAAGTGAAAATAATATTAATATACCTGAGAATGTTAATTATATATACTGCTGTCCTAATTTGATATCGAGATATCTTTGATTAAGATTTCAAGATGTTTCTTTAGATAATGTGCACTATCGAGATACTTTTTTAAAAATTATATTTTGATTTGTTTATTTTCTACTCTTATTTTTAAAAAAACTATTTTTCACTAATAAGATAAAGTCTAAATTTTAATACCTTTTTACATTATTTTTAATAAATTAATAACTAAATAGTTCTATAATTCATGAAGATTTTTTTTCGTTTCTAGATGTCGATGTACGTGCTTCTGCCGAAAGTCGAAGGAGCCACTGCTTTAAAGAGTTTCCAGGATCAACTAACAGTTGAGACTATTGAAAACCTAATAAGTAATCTCAAGAATCAAACCTGTATCATCGGTTTTCCTCGAATGAAACTCTCGAGTACGTTGAGTTTGAATAGCGCGCTACAAAGTTTGGGTTTACGCTCGTTATTTGATGCGAAAGCTGCGGATTTAAGTCTCTTGTCGAGTGGATACGGTCAAAATACGGCAACTGCGCCGATTTTACATATGCCACCGCACATTTCACGGCAAGTCTCTCCAGAACAATTGTCGAGTAAAACCAACGAATATCTTATCTTTTCACGGAATAATTTTGGGGATAACAATAATCAGAGTGTGAGTAACGGTGCGAGAGCAAATTTTTTCAGGTACGACGATAAAGAACGCGGCTATAATATTGAGCAATGGAACACAGGATTTCATATTCAAAAAATTCGTAGAGCACGTCGCAACGTTTTGAACGAAAAACAACGCAACGTCACGCCATCGCGAACGATGTATGTCACGGAGAACGATGGCCTCGAGAAAGTCACGCCGAAGATCAGTCACGAAAATACGAGATACGTGAGTTTAGAGGAGAACAAATATCGTTTCCAAAACGCTGAGAAGAAAACGAAGAACAGAAAGAGACGGCAGAGCCGACCCATAGACGAGAACTTCTTGAGATTCATGCAAAGTAAGAATTTCCCGTCTTACGGTCTAGATAATCTCCGAAACAGCGCGAATCTCGTGAATCCGGGTTTATTCGCCGATGAGGTACTACACAAGGTGGAGATGGATGTGACGGAAAAAGGAACGGAGGCCGCAGCGACGACCGGGATACTTTTACGGCGAGACGGCAATCAAAAGAAACTGATTGCCAATCGACCTTTCCTCTTTTTCATCAGACACGACCCCACGAAGCTTGTTCTCTTCTGGGGAACGGTTAATGCGCCAGTTCCGAACTACGCCGTTGTCAGATGAGATGAGCTATAAATGTTCTGCGTAAATATATAGAGTTTATTTTCTAGAGTCTATTTATGTATTCGTTTCGTGATTATTCGAACAAATGCGATTATTATTTCTTTTTTTTGTATTGCTTGATTTTCGCATAATCTTATCGTCTCGCATCGAGTATTGCGTTGCAACATCACATTCCGTTTTATCATCTATTGTTCTATCTTACATACGTAACGGGCGCCCATATGTTATCGCGTCATATATTATTGATATTTTAAGATAATATTACATCTTCAATATATTCTTAATATTACTCAAATGAAAGAGTAAGATTTAGCGTGGATGATGTAAAGGTGATCGAAATACTACTTTTGAAAAGAGATAAAAAATATTAATAATTTCAAGTTTATAGGATTTCGGATGAATGTCCAACGTTACCATAGTGCCTTATTTAATTATAACAAAGTACAATTATCAGATTTTAAGCTTTATTTGACACTATAATACAGTCTTATTTTGCTAGATATGATTTATTTTGTATTTTTCCAATAATAAAAATAATTTTTCTTTAATTCCTTTTTTCCTTACTCTTATCTAAACTTAATTACACATTACATATGATACTCTTATAGTGTTTCATAAAGACACTATAAGCATATAAAAAAAAATGATCTACCAAAATAAACATAAATAAAAAAATATAATTGTTGCATCAATGCGTATATACGTATCAGATTTTATTGCAATTAATTCATTAAAATTGAACGCTAATAAAATCCATATTTTTTATTCTACAAAGTATTCTATTTATTTGTTAGACGAATAAACGAGATTCTAATATAAAACTCGCATCAAGTTATCGCGCGAAGATTAACTAATATTTTCATAATGTGTTACAGAATATATTTTTATCAATTTCTTTTTTTATTTATCATCCTTTTAGAAAATCAATATTACAAACACCTGTACCTTTCTTGTAGATACTCGAAAGCATGGCAGGAACGTGGTTGATGTTTGGTCTTCTGGTGTTGGCTGGTGGTCAGATCGTCTATCCGGATCAATACCAGAGGATGACAGTTGGCACGAATCGTGCACCTGCCCTAGGATCGCAACCTGCTAATTATCCTGCATTGCAAACAGTCAGCAATAGTCAGTCAGTTCAGATCAAACAATTCAATCAAGAGTCCGCTCCGCGATACGGCGTTGCGATTCCAGAAACGGCACAGATTAATTCTACAACTCAACTACCTTTTTATCCCTCAGTAAATCCGACACCTAATCCGACAGTTAATCCATTATTGGAAAATTGGGATAATCATGTAAGTTTTTATCAGTTTGTTATTTGCATGTTATTTTTGCATGCGCAGCAATAACAATTCGTTGTGAAAATAAAATTAATTGTAAATTTTTATGAATTACATTTTAAAGGATATACAATCTGCAGAAATAACACCGTCACGCTCTAAATAAGATTGCAAAAATTTAATCGAGAGAGAGAGAGAAAGACATTATGCTTCTTTTAAAAAATTTTCTCATATATTGTTCTTTGAAAATATTAATTAAAGAAACAAATAATTATATGTTCGTTTTCCATTGATTCTGAAACATTTGTGTAAAAATACATTGTCGATGTATCGTTGATTTCAGGTGAACAATATTATAGCTAGAGGGATCATGAAGTTCTCTTTGGACTTGAATAAAGCGATATACAATACTAAAGGCACATCAGTGGCTAATCAACGTGAAAACGTCATTTTTTCTCCACTTAGTGTTGCTGTTGCATTATCGTTAGTATTGTTGGGTTCCGCTGGCAGGACTTTTGACGAAGTATCGCGGGTGCTCGGTTTGGAATCAGGTGTTGACATATCTCAACACTCGGAAATAGTTCATCAAACGTTTGGCCAATTGCTGGACTTCGCGAACTATAGAATTGAGGGAAGCAATAAGCCGCGCGTAGATTCCGCCAGTGGTGTTTTCGTTCAGGTACACATTCAATGTTTTATTTCTATTATATTGGATAATTATATAAAAATTTATACCCAGTGTAATGAAATATCAAAATCAAATCCATTATCTCTAAATCTATAAAAAATATCTTTATCTCAATATATCTCAAGCACATATATTTATATACACACATGAAATATTAATGATATTCAAATTACAAATGATTGAATATGGAAGATTTTTTGTAAATTAAAATTCAAGCATGCAAATATAGATAACAAAATTCTTCATTTAATTCTAAAATGTTATTTTAATAAATTTAATGAATTTTTAATTCCTGTTTTAGGAGAGATATCCGATTCGTCCTGAATTTCGCGCGATTAGCATGAACGTGTATAAGAGCGAAGTAATAAATTTAGATTTTGAAAGAAAAGGCAAAGAAGCTGAAGACGTAATAAACAATTGGGTAAAGGAACGGACGATGGGAAAGATCGATGGTATATTGAACAGTGTACCAGATCCAACGACCATGGTGATTCTGTTATCGGCGCTCTACTTCAAAGGAGAATGGAATCAACATTTCTTAGAAGGCATGACACAGAAGTAAGATATTTCTATTTATTTTTATTTCTATTTATTTGGACCGATGGCGATCGAGAAAACGATTCTGTCTTCAATTTTTTAAATAATATATTATATTTTCTGCTGCAGAAAAGAATTCTTCGTTGAACCGAATGACACGATCGGGGTAGATATGATGTACAATGGCGGTAATTTCCCCTTTTACGAAGACAAAACATTAGGCGTTAAAATATTGGCTCTACCCTATAAAGGCTTAGAGGTAATAAGTGAAAATAATATTAATATACCTGAGAATGTTAATTATATATACTGCTGTCCTAATTTGATATCGAGATATCTTTGATTAAGATTTCAAGATGTTTCTTTAGATAATGTGCACTATCGAGATACTTTTTTAAAAATTATATTTTGATTTGTTTATTTTCTACTCTTATTTTAAAAAAAACTATTTTTCACTAATAAGATAAAGTCTAAATTTTAATACCTTTTTACATTATTTTTAATAAATTAATAACTAAATAGTTCTATAATTCATGAAGATTTTTTTTCGTTTCTAGATGTCGATGTACGTGCTTCTGCCGAAAGTCGAAGGAGCCACTGCTTTAAAGAGTTTCCAGGATCAACTAACAGTTGAGACTATTGAAAACCTAATAAGTAATCTCAAGAATCAAACCTGTATCATCGGTTTTCCTCGAATGAAACTCTCGAGTACGTTGAGTTTGAATAGCGCGCTACAAAGTTTGGGTTTACGCTCGTTATTTGATGCGAAAGCTGCGGATTTAAGTCTCTTGTCGAGTGGATACGGTCAAAATACGGCAACTGCGCCGATTTTACATATGCCACCGCACATTTCACGGCAAGTCTCTCCAGAACAATTGTCGAGTAAAACCAACGAATATCTTATCTTTTCACGGAATAATTTTGGGGATAACAATAATCAGAGTGTGAGTAACGGTGCGAGAGCAAATTTTTTCAGGTACGACGATAAAGAACGCGGCTATAATATTGAGCAATGGAACACAGGATTTCATATTCAAAAAATTCGTAGAGCACGTCGCAACGTTTTGAACGAAAAACAACGCAACGTCACGCCATCGCGAACGATGTATGTCACGGAGAACGATGGCCTCGAGAAAGTCACGCCGAAGATCAGTCACGAAAATACGAGATACGTGAGTTTAGAGGAGAACAAATATCGTTTCCAAAACGCTGAGAAGAAAACGAAGAACAGAAAGAGACGGCAGAGCCGACCCATAGACGAGAACTTCTTGAGATTCATGCAAAGTAAGAATTTCCCGTCTTACGGTCTAGATAATCTCCGAAACAGCGCGAATCTCGTGAATCCGGGTTTATTCGCCGATGAGGTACTACACAAGGTGGAGATGGATGTGACGGAAAAAGGAACGGAGGCCGCAGCGACGACCGGGATACTTTTACGGCGAGACGGCAATCAAAAGAAACTGATTGCCAATCGACCTTTCCTCTTTTTCATCAGACACGACCCCACGAAGCTTGTTCTCTTCTGGGGAACGGTTAATGCGCCAGTTCCGAACTACGCCGTTGTCAGATGAGATGAGCTATAAATGTTCTGCGTAAATATATAGAGTTTATTTTCTAGAGTCTATTTATGTATTCGTTTCGTGATTATTCGAACAAATGCGATTATTATTTCTTTTTTTTGTATTGCTTGATTTTCGCATAATCTTATCGTCTCGCATCGAGTATTGCGTTGCAACATCACATTCCGTTTTATCATCTATTGTTCTATCTTACATACGTAACGGGCGCCCATATGTTATCGCGTCATATATTATTGATATTTTAAGATAATATTACATCTTCAATATATTCTTAATATTACTCAAATGAAAGAGTAAGATTTAGCGTGGATGATGTAAAGGTGATCGAAATACTACTTTTGAAAAGAGATAAAAAATATTAATAATTTCAAGTTTATAGGATTTCGGATGAATGTCCAACGTTACCATAGTGCCTTATTTAATTATAACAAAGTACAATTATCAGATTTTAAGCTTTATTTGACACTATAATACAGTCTTATTTTGCTAGATATGATTTATTTTGTATTTTTCCAATAATAAAAATAATTTTTCTTTAATTCCTTTTTTCCTTACTCTTATCTAAACTTAATTACACATTACATATGATACTCTTATAGTGTTTCATAAAGACACTATAAGCATATAAAAAAAAATGATCTACCAAAATAAACATAAATAAAAAAATATAATTGTTGCATCAATGCGTATATACGTATCAGATTTTATTGCAATTAATTCATTAAAATTGAACGCTAATAAAATCCATATTTTTTATTCTACAAAGTATTCTATTTATTTGTTAGACGAATAAACGAGATTCTAATATAAAACTCGCATCAAGTTAAATTTTCAAACCCCCGGTTAATTGTTACTAACCGTAACTTAGGGAATAAAAAATTCCTATATCGCATAGTTATTTCTATTTGAAATATTCGACAAACCTACAACAATTTATGAAAAGAAAAAAAAAACGTTTGCAACTCTGGTTGGCTGTCGCGCCCAATTATAGACCAATCCGATATACAGATTTTATCGCTTCCATTGTAAACTGTCAATGAGCCACTGCCGGTAGTGTATACGTATAACCTAAAAAATGCTACAAGATTCTATCGCTTAATCAGTGATTGTAATAGAAAATAGCGCCGAGAAAATCAGTCAGCCGTAACAAAATTCAACGAGTCTATTGAGAGACGCACCGATGCCGAAATACTATTGCGACTATTGTGACACTTACTTGACGCATGATTCGCCGAGCGTACGCAAGACCCATTGCCAGGGTCGCAAGCACAAGGATAACGTGAAGTACTTCTATCAAAAATGGATGGAGGAGCAGGCCCAGCATCTGATCGATGCGACAACGGCCGCCTTTAAAGCCGGTAAGATCGCCTCCAATCCATTCGCGGCTAACAAGGGTGCGGCGATACCACCGCCGCCGAATCTCGGCTCCAGCCTTGGCTCACGATCCGGAGTACCGCCGCAAGGACCTCCGGGAATGATGCCACCACCCGGTATGCATCCAGCTGGTCCCATGGGACCGGGAGGCCCGATGATGATGGGACCGCATGGACCGATGCCACCTCCTATGATGGGTATGAGGCCACCTATGATGGGACCGATGGGGCCAATGGGTCCTATGATGGGTCCTATAGGCCCTATGGGACACATGAGACCACCGATGAACGGACCGCCACCTCCTATGGTAGGCCCACCACCAATGAAGAAATAACAGCCAGAGGATTTTTATCTCTTATGTGTTATGTGTAACACAACAGTGTTGTGGATACGACTGACTCGATTGAGCTTTGATTGCGTGTGGTCACTAGAATGGTCTTATGCAGACAAAGATGTGTGCACACACGTTGTATATTTAAGAATTCTGTACAAACTAAAACTAATTCTGTGACTACAAAATTTGGAAACATTTTGATGTATGTTACAATGACTTGTGTGTTCTCTGCCAAAAGTAAATGTAACACTATCGCAGCAATATCTATATATTTTACTCTATCATTTATTATTCCTTGACACAAAATAGAATTCCTAGAACACAAATATGAAGCATATGCAGTTCTAAATCTTTGATTTTTCAAATTGGCAAATTTTAAATTATTCTGCTGAAAAAAGTATGTGTACATATAAGACTACATAAAGTTTAGTCATAAGTAAATCAAATAATTTTGAGATCTCAAACTTAATGTATGTGTATCGGCATATATTATTCTTGAAATATAAAATAAACACTTTTCAAGTATATTCAAAATTAATCCTTTAATATTTCATCCAAAGATGTAATACAATAAAAAAGCAATTTTTTTTACTCGGTTTTTAATTGTTACAACAAATAACATGATAGTAACCTAAATGCTATGTGAAAAATATCTCAAGATATTCTAATTATTATATAAATGGATGATATATTTAAAGGAACAAGAAAATTGAAATAATTATTTAATACTTCATTCAAAAATATAATGTAAAAACATAAGTTATTCATAATTATTATAGCAAATACTACATAGCTGTAATATTAATGCTATACAATTTGTTTTAAAATGTCCTCATTAATTACATTCATCAGAATATATCATTAATAGAATAAGATATATGTGGATATATGTGCGTGGTTAAATAGTTTGCAAAATATTTTACAGGTTTGTGTGTGTGTGTGTGTGTGTGTGTGTATATTAAATGACCTCTTCTTTTTAATATATTATTTTAATATGCACACGCATGTTTGCGGTCATTTGATATCATCCATAACGTAAACAACAATTTCATCCACATTTAGAATTGTACAGACATCTCTCTCTCTCTCTCTCTCTCTCTCAGAGATAATTTCAATCAATATTGCAATAGCATCGAACAAAATATAATAATATTTGCAATTATGTCTTTAAATCTTGCTTTAAATCTTAAATGTGCTAACATTCTTACGATATTTTTTCTCTAATTTTATCATTTTTTTCATCGTATCCACATGACGCAGCATAATTGTTCGACTGTTAAATTTTTTTTCCAATTCGTTTGCTGCATTCATCATATAAGGTATTTCAAGTTCACGGGCCTCTTTTATGAGTTTTGAGGCATCCGGATACATATTTTGAATTGCTAGGTTTCTTCTTCTTTCCAATCTCTGTTGTTTTTTTGTCCGTTTATCTTGTTTTGTAGGATTTTTTTTTACATTCTGTTTGTCCGTGGATGTATTGCATTCAATATTTAGACCACTTGTTAATGGTTGAACGTCATTTATGTCTTCCGTTGAAATCAATACTGGTTCAATATAGTTAAATATCTCAGTATTTGATGACGTAGTAGTCTGAGCATCTTCTGTAACAGAATCTTCTAGTATCATTATCTCATTATCATCACAATCTATGGTATCATTAATTATAGGCGAAATATCGTCTCTTCTCTCAACAAACATCTCGTCATTCGTATTCTGCTGAATATTAATCGGAGGAAGATCTTCAGCAGAGTTTATATTTTGTGAAGTGCTAAATGTTACAGTTAACGAGGAATTTACATTAAAATCTGATGCAAGATTTTCTTCACACATTTCATCGTTTTCCAATTCCTGCATTATCTGCGGCGAACAATTCGTATTTGTTAGCATCATTTTCGAGTGTTTTTCAATACGCTGCAGCATGTAGATTATACCGACAGGTGTGTGAGGCACAAATAAACGATTATAAAGCAGGGTAAGTTTAAGATAAATTGCGGTATCAAGTTTCTCAATCATCTGATCTTGTTTCACAGATTCGAGTTGCTTCATTACATTCTTAAAGTCACGTATGTAAAAATTTGGTTTTGGCTCAGTGTTGAAAATCATAAGAAGCTTGACTTGTAAACGCCACATCTTTGTACGTAAACGAGAATATTGCCTGAAGCTACCATTATGCTGTTCCAATAGTCTTTTGTGGTGTTTTATTGAATGAGAAATCCATCGTGGATCATTTATTCCTTTTATATGATCGTTATAACATGTAAAGCTCATTTTTGTTAGTTGCGGCATCCTCGAAGATAATAGGTTAAACATTTTTGTAGGATTCATGGGTAGAGTCATATCCATCCCATAATCCTTTTCATTGTCTGGGAGATCGATCCAATGAAGCAACAGATTATGTATCAATTTTACGTATTCTTTCATTGCTATTATCTGTAATATTATATCTTGACATTGATCCATTTTTGTATAGCCTATTTTTACTTCAAATTCTATTGCCTTTTCAGATAATGCCTTAAGAAAAATTGGAGCAATTTCACCCTTTGACAAATTTCTTACAGTCCTCTTTCCATAGGATGTCAGTTTTTTTATCGATGAAAGGTTTCTCGAAATTATCTTTGCATCCTTGTTATTTTTGTCATGGAATTCACCATAAATAAATAGAATAGTGGTAAACTCGTTTTCGATTATTCCATTTTGTCTGTATTTCTGTTTATCTTCGGGCCGATGTATCTTATTTATCATAGGAGAAGATTCCAAGTTTCCTTCTATTTCTAGATTGCACAGAGTTTTTTGTGGAATCGGCGTCTCGTTAGCTTTTGCACTTGATGATAATGCGTCTACTCTAGTAGATTTCGAATATTCTTCCATTGGAATCGACGAACTGCTGCTTGTTGCCCTGGATGACAAACTTATTTGGAAATCAGAATTGGAAAAACTCGTCGCATATGTGTACATAGGTCCGTCCGTGTAATTTGTGACCGCTGCCGGAGTTTGAAAGTGCTGGGACCATCGATACGCATTGCACATGGACGACTCATGGCCGCGCTTGGTGCAGTTGCAGCAATGCAATAAGCCCGACGGTTTCATTATGTTGCCTGGATCCTGTGGTGCGCTGCTCATGTCGGTCGTTTGATGATACCGTCGCCAGAGATCGGGACATTGCGTTGACTCGTGTCCTACCGAATGACACATAGTACAATATAGGACACGACAATACTCGCAAGTTTTACGAAACGTGTTCTGTTGCTTACCGCATGTAAGACATATTTTCTGTGGACAACGAGACTCAACGTGACCTTTGTTGCCGCATATATAGCAACAGGGCGTTTTACGCGGCACTGGACAATCATAGCGTTGGTGACCGTCCTGGTGGCAATTGGTACATCTGATGTTCCAGAATCTGTGGCGTTGCCTGCTGGGAGGACTTGGCATCAAATCCTCGTCCATTATCCTCCACATTCGCGGATCTCTCGACATGCCTTGCTGCAGTTCGCCAACATCAAAGTTCTCCTGACCGCGAGACGAGTTGTAGTAATAGTTCCTCAGTGAGTCTGACATTGTTTTGAAATATTCATTCCTTGATTCCTTTCTTCTTTCTCCACCACTGCTGCTTTGCTGCATAACATTTTGATTGTTTTGCTGAACAATGCATTGTCGTTTTTCTTTAGAACTCTCGATTGTACTATCATTTTGTCTCTTTCGATCTATTGCTGTATCATTACTACTGCATGATGCTTTCGCATCTAATGTATTGTTTTTTTCTGCACTTCTTAAATTATATCTACCATGTGTAGGTATAATGTTACTTTTGTCAACATTTCGTTGCGATTTATGAATGTGACTATATGAATATATTTCTGGAATCATAAATTGCTCTAAATTAGTGTTATGTTGTTTAGATGTATTTTGCGATAATTGCTTTGTAGAATTTTGATTTGTATCTTTAATTGATACATCTCCTTGACTTTTATTTAATTTTGCAGTTTTGGATGACTGTTTAATTTCATTTATACTTTTGACACCTTTCTGAACTATTGTGCAATTCAAAACAATATCTTCTCTAATTTCTTGCATACTTCTGGAGTTTACTGTTGTATCCTTATTATGTAGAGATTTATCAGTACTTTTATTTTTAACAGATGTATCTTGGTGATTACTTGATCTGCCTGTAATTTTGCTTGTGGCTGGGTTAACTTTTTCTGAAATCAGATTATCCATTCTTGAATTTGTGTGGTTTTCCTCGTCAGAATCTTGCAGATTTATAAGTGGTGGTTTTGGTTTTGGTGGAACCGGTATTTCAAAAATAGATTCGTCAGAGTCAGAACTGTCCGAAGTTTGTTTATTTTTCTTTAATTGTTTGTCTAAGAAAATTTCATGTTTTGCAGATTTTAACATGACATTGCACTTTGAACGTATTGTGTCATTCGGTGAAGCAGTTTGATCTTTTAGGGAACTTTCTTGATGCTTGCTTTTTGTATAGTTAGAAGATTTATGCTTCTTGGCAACACTTTCCTTGCATTTTTTTTCTTTTTCCACTGAAGAGTTTCCTGGATTGTCATTATTAATATTATCATTATCATGTATTACAGGATTCATCTCTCGACCAGACAATTTGTCTGTGTTAGTCTGAATTTCAACTGATGCAGGATTAATTGCATCAGCTGAATTTTGTACGCGCGATATGTCACTGTCTATGACAAAACTCTCGTTTGGCAACGGAGTGTTCTGATTGCAATGTTCTCTTGATATTTTCTTAGTTTTACTAGATTTATCTCTAGCAGATTCAGATTCTAATGGTTGCCTGTCTTCAGATTGTTGTTGCATATTTTCCGGTTCTAAGTTTGATTCAGCATCCATGTTAGCTAGTTGAATTGTTCTTGAAATATCCGAGGTTTTTGATCCAGCTTCAACGTTTGATTCATAATAAATTTCTGCATACAATCGGGACTGCAAGTCACCATCATCAAAGTTTTCGTTTTTATAATCTACAATAGACAATAATAATTGCCGTTAATATTTGCGTCGTAAAAATCAAGTACAATAATGTGACAAATATGGACAATCTTTGTAATTAAACAAAATTGTAAATATATATATGTAGAATTTCGTTGATTATTTACCTCTGAATAGATTATTTCTTTCTTCAAAAGTATTTTCTGACATGATGTTTATAGATATTTCTGACATAAATAAAGATGTTCGGAAAAATATTTAATATCATTAAATGACACAATTGAAACATAATAAAAGTTTTCTAGCATATATATGCATGTACGTTGTATTTTAATATACACGTGCAGTGTATAAAAGTACTTTACATAATCTTTTTGTAGCAAGAAGAATGAGTGAAATGTTACTAAACTTTCTTCATTCGATTTCTCTAGAAAGCACTTACATAAAACACAGAGTTCCTAGAAGTAAGAGTCTAACATATATCGTCCAATTTTTGATTGGCTGATATAAAATAGCGGCACCAATCAATAATGACGTTTTAAAAAATCAGCCAATAATTTATGCATACATGTCACGCGTTAAGGTACAATTTCATGTGCTGCAAACTCGTGCAGCAGAAAGATCACGTGATCGAAATGGACGAATGAATGACGACGGTCTGGCCGCTGATTCGTCCATTTCGATCACGTGACCTCTTCGCTGCACGAGTTTGCAGCACATGAAATTGTACCTTTATGCCGGGTACAAGTAGTAGGCCCGTTCAACAAAAAAATGTTAGGGAGGTTAGGTGATTGTCAACAATAACTAAAGGGGATTTATGTTTGTATATGTATTTAATATAATAATTATTACGGGTAATATATATTATAAACGATGCTAAAAATGAGCAGCCAATTAAAGAGGTATCTCTTTTGGTTCGCTCACGAACATGTTGATTTCCGATTGGCTGTAAGTGTTTTTTCATGAAATATTTTTAATGATCATAAATTATAAAACGATTCTTCGTAAAATGCTATTATATTTTCACTATATATTTTATTATATTCTACATTTGTGTAAAAATTCTAGAAAATTTTTCTATATTTGAGAGAGACATTTTGCTTGAGATTTTATAATTATAAGTCGTAAGATTTTAATATCTTATTAAATTCTGTAGAGAGCAAAAGAAATGTAACATTTTTATATTGATTATATATATTGATTTTTTTATATTTATTGTGAAAGTAATCACTATTATTTTCCCATCTATTATATTTCAGGAAATGCAGTCTATATTTGATATGTACAATATTAATCCACAAATAGTAACTAGGCCAAAGGAACATGTAAGGAAGTATGAACATTATTAATTATCAATATATATTCATGTGTGTGTGTGTTAAAATATATATTCTTCTTAGATTACATTATTGTATAAATTACTTTTGCCCAAGAAACATTTCTCAACTGTAATTTCTACTGTAAAATAACTTTGTAAATGTAAAAAAAATTTTATATAAATGCTATTATTATATATAATAGTACAAATACTGTATCAAATTATGCTTTAAACAATATACAATTTACTACAAACAAAAAATAGATTTATAAAATTTTGTTTTAGCCATACTGGATTGTAGATTTACCTGATGAGAATGCAGTACATCAAATTGTCAGTAGAGCAATCTCAATACGCTTTTGTTTGGAGCTGTGGGCGCAAGGCAAACAAAATGAAGACTTACATAAATCTTTAAAAGCTTACTCAGTCAAAAATATCACAGGAGAGAAAAGATCATTCAAGATTGCAGTGGAGACTTTCTGTAAACATTTCTCACAACAAGAGAAAGTAAATAAGATTGAAGTAAGTAAATATTTCAATAATGAACTTATAAATCATGATGATGATATTGTAATAATGTTATTCTAAAATTATGTTTTACATTAAAGTACATGCTAGAAATGCATTATTAAATGCTAATCGTTTAACAATACATATTTAAATTATCTAATATAGTGTTATTGACTTAATGCAATATTGGGCAAAGTCTTTCAGTTATTTACCTCTTGAAGGACCAGTCAAATTGAAAAATCCAGATATCACTCTATGCTATATAGAGCATTATGGACTTAATCCCAATAGCATTCCTGAGGAGCCATATGAATATTTCTTTGGAAGATGGGTGAGTAATATGATTATATATCAAAGATATTTTCTTTTTACAAATTATAATATCATTTTATTACAGATTGCTGATGGCCAGCGAGAATTGATTCAAAAGTTATCACTAAAAACTAGGAAATTTATAGGAAATACCTCAATGGATCCACAGTTGTCACTGATAATGGCAAATCAAGCGCAAATTAGAAATGGGGACATAGTTTACGATCCATTTGTAGGGACGGGTTCTTTGTTAATTGCTGCATCTCAATTTGGAGGATATACATTTGGAACTGACATTGATTTTTTAATGCTCCATGGTCGTACAAGACCTACACGGATATCACAAAAGGTATGAAACTAACAAACATTAAAAATTTTTATCAATTTTTATAAATTTGGTAAAAAGAAATTTAAAAAGTCGAAACAGCCGAATAATTATTATATTATGTATGATACTAGACAAGGGAAAAAGACGAAAGCATTGCAGCAAATATGCATCAATATGGAATGAGTTCCTATTATCTTGATGTAGTAGTGGCAGATTTTTCGTATCCACTCTGGCGAACAGATTTACGAATAGATGCTATTATAACAGATCGTTAGTACAAAAAAAATCACAAAATCCTCGATTACAAATTATAGAAATTTTCTAAGATTTATGAGCGACTAAAGCAACTTGTATTTTTTTTTTGTAGCGCCTTATGGTATAAGAGAGGCTACGGAACGTATAGGTACCATGAAGATAAATCCTGTAATAGAGGAGCATCAAGCAACCTCTCATATTCCTTCTAAAATTGGTTACGGCCTGAATCAAATATATAAAGATTTATTGTGTTTCTCCGCGAGACATCTAAAACTTAACGGCAGATTGGTGTGTTGGTATCCACTGTTTAGGTATATATATCTATTAATATTTACTTGTAATTAATTATATGTAAGAAATGTGGCAACACTCGTAATGATTAATTATTGACTATTAAATGATAGAGATAATTATATTTATCAAATTTATGATTTAGGGACCAATACACAGAAGATCAGTTACCAGCACATCCTTGCTTAGAGTTGTTAGCTAATTCCGAACAAGTATTGAGCAACTATACTAGTAGAAGATTATTAACTTACAAAAAAATTAAAGAATCAGAAGTATGTATGCATAAACCATTTAATTTTACTAACAATTCTTACTCTTCTATGTCTTCAATACTTGATAGGCAACCGATGAGAGCATCATCATGAATTTAGTCGACTTTCGTGAAAAATATTTTGCATTACGCGAAGAAACAAGAAAGGAAAAGCGAACGAGGAAAGCCACAGAAAGAGCGAGAAGACGAGAAGAGTGGGAACGTAGCAACAAGGAAGTTACTGAAAGATGACTGTAGAGATCTTTTGTATAGAGAGAAGCAGACATTAAATGTCTTCTTTCAATTTTATATACGTTTCCACAGTTATTAGTCTTTATATATGCATATTGGATTGTTCAGAAAATTTTCTTAGTTTACATTTATTTACATAAAGGAAAAAGATTAAAAAACTTCGCAAGCAATCCAGTAATTAAAAACATGTATAATTATTCAGAAATATTTGATTTCAAGATGTGGTCATCTGATTTTTGCAATTTCTCTTATTATGTACAGAATAATTGTAAAGATTGATATATGAAAACAAGGCTAATTGTTCCAATTAGTTTGAAATAAATGATATTTTTTACATACATGTATTTTATCCATCAACGCCGCTTTTATTTTCATTATATTTATATGCAGATATAATCAATACTTAATAGCACATGAAAATCAACAATGATATTAGACAACAGAGAGAGCCGAGAGTGATCACAATTACAAAATCAATGATTACACATTCACTTAATAACATATACAGTAACTAAATTATAAGTTTAAAAAAAAATTTTTATTGTACTTTAATATATATAAATTTATAAAAATAGCAAAAGATGTGTCGTTAAAATTATACAATATTGAAAAATAAAATATATGTACAATGTACATCATCAAAGTATAATAAATTAAAAGTATCAATATTGAATCTTGCAATAATTTATATTCAATTCTATAAAATTTCTTCTCAATATTAAAACTATATAAGAATAATATAATATATATAGTGCAGCTAAAACTTGAAAACTGTATAGAGCTTACTAATTGATTGATTAATAATATATCAACATATGCATTTTATATCGACATTGAACAAAATTATACTCTTGGAACATAATCATGTACATTACACAATTGAAAAATAGAATAAAAGATAATACTGTTTGAATACATCAATCATGATCAGATTTTTATTACCTTTTTTTTTTAACTGCATAGAGTTAAAAAATATCTAAAATTTCTCGTGCTCGATAGATTCTTTGGAAATAGTTATATGCAATATGTTTAAACATATGCTATTTACTTTTGTTACAAAATTAAAATAAATATACAATTTGTCAAAGATAACAGTACCTAAGCTTCAAGTTGCAGTTGTCCTAGTAAACGTTCTACGTTTTTAACATCTTCATTCGAAACTTTACTTTCATATTGTTTCTCAATTTGTTTACTAGCCCATTCGCTCAGCTTCATTGCTTCCTTCTTCTTGGATGCAGGACATTTAGGTGATGTTGCAATATTGTTTGTTGTCTAAAATAGCATATTTACAGAAAACTGTTCACATACACACACACACATAACTACTATCTAATATTATATATAATGCCATTTTGAAACTTACTAATAACAAGCCATATAAAGCTCTAACATTATTTGGATTTAATTTTGCTGCTTGGCAGAAATATGCTTTCGCCAACTCCATATTATCAAATCCGCCCTGTATAAAAAAATATTATATAATTTAAAAATTTATCTTTGCATTAATTTCAAAAAATATTAAGAGATACTTTAATTTATAATAAATACATATCTTAAATGTATATTTAGCCTCATTCAACCAAATAGCTTTTTTATGATATTAATTTTTTGTTAATCCATTTAGTTAAATAAATGTTATGTGGCTATTGATAAAAGCAAACAGTCATAAAAAATCTTAAATGCATCCATTACCTGAGAATACTTTATTTCAGCGTATCTTTGGTAAATTAAATGGCTATGTGGATTATGCAATATAAGTTCTTCCATGCAATAGGCTGCTTTGGAATACTCTTGTTCTTGCAAATAAAGATCACACAACTCGTGCCATGCTTCTTGATCGCTCATAAATCTAAGTAATGATTTTGTAACACATAATATTATTAATATATCATTTGTAAAATTACAAAAAAAATATATAATTTTGAACATTACATTTACTTATATCTTATAAGTTTTATAAAGCTATTTAAACATATTAATATATATATATGTAAGAGTGTGAAACATCACTGACCTTTTCAGATATTCTGTAAGTTCTTTGATTGCCTCTGGAATACGTCCTCGAGCTTTCAAAATAGCAACACGACGTTTCCTTGGTGCTGCATTAGTCTCGTCTCTTTTTATAATAGACTCCAAAACTTCCATTGCTTCGTCGTACCTGAAAAATATATTAATAAATTGTTAAAACAAGCATTATTACATATTTGCAAATACTTGATAATATATAACATATACATTTCTAATGCTTCCAAATGCATGGCATGGTATTTATGAACACGCAAGCTGCCAGGAAATGCGCGCATTAAAATTTTAATGCAATATTCAGCAAGTGACAGGCGGTAACAATCCAACGCGGCTACACATACTTGTTCCAGAACCAGATATTCTAAATAATTAAAGATGGAATATTATATATACTTTTATAAAAAAAAATGTGGTAAAAATGGTATTATTATTTAAATATACTGCTATTATTTATTATTATGTAACTATAATTATAAGGATAAGAAAAGTTGTATTAATTGTTTGTACTTTCATTGCCTAAACGGTCAATCTTTCCTATTAATGTATTATCCCAAAAGTCCACTACATCTTTACTTCGTCGTTCGGAATCTTCTCTCCAGGTTCTCAATAAATCCCGTACTTCTGTATAACAAAATCATAAAAAGCTGTTATTAAAAATACATGAAAATATTTTTATAGTTTGCAACATGTTATCAATACTAATAAAACAATGTGTAAAAATGTTTTATTTTTGTTCGCTAAATTATAAGTTTAAAAAAAAATTTTTATTGTACTTTAATATATATAAATTTATAAAAATAGCAAAAGATGTGTCGTTAAAATTATACAATATTGAAAAATAAAATATATGTACAATGTACATCATCAAAGTATAATAAATTAAAAGTATCAATATTGAATCTTGCAATAATTTATATTCAATTCTATAAAATTTCTTCTCAATATTAAAACTATATAAGAATAAAAATAAATTCCCAAAAAAAAAAAAAAAAAAAAAATTGAAATTTAATTAGTATTTCTTGGGATTTTTAAAATATAATTTAATTAATATTCCTTGGGATTATACACGTACGAGAAAGATGACGTACATTAACATGCATCCAATTGTCGCATGCGATACAAAACTCACCTGTCCAAGATAATTTGTCGTAACACCCTGCCATTGTTACCGCTTTATAAAATCAAAGAAATTTCTATAAGAGTGAATAAAACACTCGGTGAAATTGAACTGTTGTCACGCGATATTTTAGAGGTTATACGATGTGGCTCCCAAAATGTAATGTAAACAGCATCGGATCAGATGCATTAGTAGAAATTCTTCACGCTTTGTTGTAAAGGATACAAAGTTATTGCCACTACAGAGACTTCCCGAAGTTGTAACGCGCTAATTCCCCTGAGATAGCGTAAAGAGATAATTGTGATAAATAATGGATATATATACGATGAGTGAAGTCTGGGAAGAGGGGAGGATGACAACTACGTACACATGTAGTTCACTTCGTCATTGTTGTAAAATTAATATACCCATGGTCATGATAAAACGTATGATTAGTAAACTCTTGTATCGCGTCAGTATACATGTGAGCGATTCGAGATTACTCGTATATACAGAGTGTCCCAGAATTACCGCACCACCTGCTAATGATAGATTCTTGAGATCATTTGGAGACGATTTTTCCTCAGTGAAAATATCAATAACTTTCGTGTTACAAGCGATTCAAAAAGAAAAGCTTTTTGCAAATTAAACTTTATAGAGAAGAGAGTTAAAACTACATTCTTTAATTAATTTCAAATAGAGTTTACATAAATAGAGAGAGAGAATTATTTTAATTTAAAGGCTTATTTAGTTACAAAGACGGAAAAAATTGAAAACTTGCAAAAAATATAATGACCTCTCTTGACATTTTCTGGGACACCCTGTATACATCTGTATATTTTATATATATGTAGTTTGTTACATATATTTATTATGGGAGTTTTACAGCAAGAAAATACGGATAAACACAATGTCACCCAATTGGTCATTAAATGAAGAATTTTTAAAGAAAATAAAATTTTTCTATGTGACAGCTAATCATATGACATTGTATTTATGAATGTTTCTTGCTGAAAAGCTTCCATTCATACACGCGTATATGTGAACACATGACGCGCACACATAGATCTGTTCGTTTTAAATGCACTTTCTCTTAACATGTAATTCTTTGCAAAATAAATAATTTTGAATACATATCTATTTTATTTCAAATGCGTAAAGAGTGCCATAAAGTACAACTAAACCAGACTAAACGAACAGATTTACATAAAGGTCTATCTCCATTTAAAAATGGCCATTAATTTCTATATCGTTTCTCTCTCTCTCTCTCTCTTTCTCTACAAAAAGAAACTATAATAAAATACGCGATTGGACGTAGTTTCCTCGGGACACACCTAATCCTAATTTAATCTAACCTAACCTCAACCTAATTCCTTAACCTACGATTTAATCTCTTTTTAACCGCATCAATCGTATTGTCTGGGATCTCTCTCGATTATTAAAAATTCTAAATATATATCCATTTCATCCCGAACGCGAAAAGCGCGATGTAACGCGGCTCGATAGACCTGGAAATCCTACAATCCAACCCTAACCTAACCTCAAGCTCGCAAGGTTGGCATCACTCGACGTGAGTTGACAGTTGACGCGCGCGTCATTGCGCATGCGCGCGCATTGTTTGCACGCGCACGAGAAAGAGACGGAGCCGCGGGGTTCCGTCGATAAACTCGGGGAACAGGTGTCTCGCACGACGATACATAGAGGGCCACGGGTGATCCGGTGGCACAGGGGGGCGCCACATGGTATCCTTCGGTAGCTCTTGTTGCTCCCATTCCCAGGCGGGGGATTATCATCGCCCGTCGCTGTTTTCTGTTGTGTTTTCGGGGGCCGCGATCGTGCCGTGTCGAGGAACATGCCGTCGCGATAATCGTCGCGGAAAAGGGGGCCAGCCGTGCGGGGGCGAAGTGACGTGTGCGCGCCGCGGGAGTGATCGCGATCCCGACACACCGTCCGTGTCATCGTTCGCTCTGCCCGTCGTGTCGCGTCGGCCGCGCCGCGTGCAGGCAGGTGTAATTTAATAAGCGCAGGCAGGCCAGGCAGGCTGGGGTGGCTGGCTGGCGATTTAACAGGATATCGATTTGTCTGGCGAGCCAGTGCCGCCGCCACCGCGCCGTTGTGTGCCGCCGCCGTCGCCGCTGTTCATCGAGCAACGGCGATAGCACGCACGGAACACACACCGCCGACAGTACGGCCGTCAGGCGTTACGGGGGACAGCCATGGACGTCGATATTTTTGGGGCACAGCGGTGTTGTCGTGCAGCTGTGCCGTGCGTCGCGGTGGCCGCGTGCCTGATGAGCGACGAGATGTGACGCGAGACGGCCGCCCCGGCGACGATTATATTCGGTTTCGTCATCGCGAAGAGAGGAGCGACGGAGGAGGCACGGAACGATCGCGATTACGGTCCGTGTACGAGAGGCGGATGCCAACGGTACGGAAGAAGATCCGTTCATTGTGTCGGCTCGTCGACGTGTACGACGTTCTTCCGCTCTAGGGTTCCGCTGGTTTCGATTATACGCGACGCATTGTAAAGGGGGAAGAAGAAGAAGAAGAAAAAAAAAAAAAAAAAAAAAAAAAAAAAAAGCGACTCGTTTATAGGAAGCGATGGAGCTCAACAGCGGTGCGGGACCGCCTGTCGGGGCAGTCGCCTGTCCCGTTTGTACCTTGTACCTGCGCGAGGGTATTAGTTTGCAGAAGCATCTGGATACCCATCCCAAGGAACAAGTTATAGATGCTCTCATCAAGGCTAGCGCCTCCTCGACTCAGTCGCACCAGCAGCAGCAGCAACAACAACAACAACAACAGCAGCAAGCTACCCCGGCGACATCAGTACCTGTATCGCTGCAACCGCAAGCTTCACAGCAAACCCCTACCTCTGTTCAGACGCCTCAAGCGTCACCCCAAGTCTCACAGAATTCCGCGCACATTTCCTCCTCTCATTCGCCGTATCCCATAGGACCCATCTTCGAATGTCCGCCTATAAGTACCATGATGCCGCCACAGTTCACCTCGTTCAGCTATCAACAATTTGTCAACAATGGGACCATGATGATACCGCAGTATGCGATGGCACCGCAGGCCAATCAGATGATGCAGATGCTGTACAATCCGTACGGTATGTACCAACAGCAACAAATACCCACCGTCCAAATGATCTCACCGGTTGCAGCTATCCCGGGCGCCGCGAGGATTCGACCAGTGGTCACCATGGCCGGGGAGAACAATGTCAGAACCGCCCTGGCAATTCCTGTAAATAGTCCCGAGCCCAAGCAGATCCTGCCTGAGATTTTGCCCGATACCGAGCCTGAATCCGGGCAAGTTATGCCGGATGTGAACCTTCCAGCCTCGCCTGTACTGCAGAACGAGGACGCGTCCGTCAGACAGGAGGAGAGCGACAACAATGCGTTGCCAATCGATCACAGAGGACAGCCGATGCAGAGTACCGCATCGCCTGGTGAAGGTACAGTTCAGCACGGGTATAACGCTATTCCTAGATCCATCACAATCGCTTGCGCCATAAATACCAATGACGATAAAGTGGAGAGTGTACTGCCGGACATGGAGGACGAGGAGCCATCGAATAACATTTCCACCGTGGACTTGCAGTGTAAATCTGTAACATACGAACAATCTGAAACACAACAGTTTACGCAACAGGTTATGCAAGAAGGGTACGTGAGTATATCCAATAGGAAAACTAACGCAACGAATGATGTTGACTCTATGACATGTGAACGCGAATCGGAAATGATGAGCGACGAAAGACCGGCAAGCCGCAACAGCAGTGTCAGTGTCAGCAATAACGTTCCATCGCCGCGGAATTCAATAACGATTCCAGACGCATTGAAAGACTCTATTCAACCTGAACTTAATTCGGTGGAAAAGCTAGAGAATTTGATAAGCATAATGGAAACGGAGCTTAATAGCGCTTCGCTTCAAACAGAAAATAGTTCATCAAATGATCGGGATAGATTAATAGATACGAGAGAGAAATCTGATAGGGAGGAGACCGTGATTCACGATACCGTAGTGACAATTCTAGGCCCTCACGACAAGGATCACATATTGCCTGATATAGAAGAAGCTAACAATACATGGTGCCCGAACGATTATGTAGATAACGAACTGAGAACGCTAGAAAAAACTTGTCGGTATTTGTCATACAATACAGAGTGCCCGAAAATAGATGACGGTTTGAAAATGTTAGAGAAAAATTTGTATAAGTATAAGTATAGTTTTTCAGCACCCCCGTCTCCTGTCACGAGGAAGAAGTGCCGCAAGACCGTGGCGCGTCGTTACAGCGCGCGATCGGAGCTCGGATCATGCGAAAATCTCAGCCCGTATCATCATCGTGGTGGCTTTGACGACGCGGCGGCCATGCAGGACGAGGACGAAGACGAGGACGACGACGACGATGTGGATATCGACGAGGACGAGAAGATCGATGAGGAGGATAATTTCGACGAGGCGGACATGGAGATCGAGGAGATTCCCAGTCCGCATACGCCTTTCGCGGAATGCGGCTTCAGATCGCACACACCATTGTCCACGATTAGCGGTATTTCCGTGTTAAGAGTTAGGAAAGATCTCAGCAAACCATGTTCACCCACATCCATACATTCGTTTCATCATGTGGACAGTGATAGCATAAGCCACGACGAGGACAGTAATGCTGTAGATAATAATATTGTAGATAATATTGCAGAGAAAGATCCGATTGACTGTTCTCAAATCGAAGAGAAGATTAAGACTGATCATCAGCATCAGGAGGCGCGCGCGACAGTGTGCGAAAATAATGAAAAAGTTCAGGAATCGAGTAGTAGTAATAGTTATACATACCAGCAGTCAGTGATAACTGAACACGTTAGTTCATTCCCTGTGATGCACTCGCAGCCACCCGTCTTGATGCAAGAGTCATATTCCGCGACGAGTAAGACGCAAAATCTCTTAAACTTGTCGGAATCGATTAATCCTACAACCAGCACTGAATCCAAGAGCTTTCATTCTACCAAATCTACGTTGATGCCGAAGCAATCGATGGAATTGCTCAACATAAATGAGGATGCTCATGCCGGACCGATAAACGTCTTTGAATTTGAAGGACTACAAATATTAGTTCCTAGTACATTTATAAGCGATTCGTCTCAGAAAGCGGTTAGTGCGACCAGTCAGCAGTCCATGGCAAGTAGCGAGGGTGCAATAGGTATCGATGAGGAAGTCAAGAGTATTAATATGCGTGCCGATGAGACCATGCCGCCTAGAGGTGAACTGTCCGAACAAGAGAGCAATGGATGCACAGAGCCGTCTGCATGGCAGGTTTGTTATGTTTATTATTTTCAAATATTTTCATATAGAATCGAAACTCTCCAAATGTATTCTTTATTTGCGGTAATAATATTCGACATTTGCGACCATTTCTGCGAAGAAAGATTATATAAATTGTTGAACATTTTTCGGCTTATAACTTAGTCTATAGATTTTTCTAACATAAATATATACATACAAAATAAGGAAACGTAATATATGAAGTAAAAAAATAATATATAAAAAGATTGTACTCTCTTATTATTTCTTTATCTATTTCATAATATCTTTCTCTATATAGATAGTATACGATTGTTAAATACTACATTGTTAATAAAATATGCAGAATTATGAAATAATGATGAGTTACATTTTGTGTATTAATTTTAAAATTAATTATTAAGAAAATAATATAATGAAAAAATCTTGTCACGTTATAATTTAAAATTATCGTGCAAGTATTACGAAATTATTATTATTGTTATTATAAAATTCACATTTGAATGTTTCATTATATTTACATTGTAATTATTATTTAAGATAATACATATACATGTATAATTATATTCTGAAAAATATTAATGAAATTATCTTGTTATATCATCACAGATATATTATTTGCCCAAGTTCATTGGAAAAAAAAATTAATAAATTATTCGAAAAATAATTTATATGCAAATTTAACAATGATAAATCTAATAATAGTTACAATGTACATATATTAAAAAATTATAATAATGTTATACACACATATAAATTTATATTCTTTGTATAATGTATTTTTTCTTATAGCTGTACATGGGTCAAGAATCTTCGCGCATGTCCACCTCTTACGATCTGTTGGCACGAGAAAGCTGGGAGGAATCAGAAGGATCTGACAACGAGATTAGTGGCCCGTTGTTGGATAGTAGATCGTTGGCCACGCACTTCACTTCGAGTCTGTTTCTGGATCGAGATCGGGAGACACCGACCAAACGGACGTTCAAGTGTTCTCACTGTAACGAGGTATTCGATTGTCCAAAAGAGCGCAGAGTTCATAGTACAACAGTACATAAGGAGGCAGTGCCCAGTAGCAGCAGAGATCAATTGGATCAGCCGGAGATGAAGGACATCAAGTTGCTGGACAATCGTGTGAATGTGTTCGACGATATATTTGTGCCGGGTCTGCACATGCAACAGATGTACCATCATCAACAGCCGCTCCTGCATCAGCTACAGCCACCACCGTCGCAGCCTGGAGCGGATGGTTTGACCAAGGCTGAAGGCGATCAAAAGATTGGCGAGAATCTGGTGATACCATCGAGCATCGAGGTGACCTGCGCGATATGCAGCCAACGATTTAGCAGTGAAAAATCTCTACAGATACATCATCGGCGTATGCATTTAGCTGAGGTAAACAAACGCATACGCGAGAACGCCAAGTGCCAGATATGCAACGAGGAGTTCCCGTCAGTGTTATTGTTCAACGCTCACCTGAAGATACACCCGTTGGAATGCGGACAGTGCGGTAAGTATTTTTACCGGAAGCAAAATTTCAAGCTGCATATGAAACGGCACTTGGGCATCAAACCGTTTCCGTGCACTGTGTGCGACAAGGCGTTCCTCACCAAGCAAAAACTGGACGAACATACCAACGGCCACACTGGCAACGCGCCCGTCAAATGTAGCTTGTGCAACGAGACTTTCCGCAGGTATTCGAATTTGACCCAGCACAAAAACCGGCATCACCTCAACATCAAGAAAAAACTCAAAGACTATATATGCCACTGCGGCGAAGTGTTTCACACGAAGAAGAAGCTCGCCTGGCACAAAGAGACGCACGACGAGAAACCCAAAGCATGCACGTATTGCAATGAGCGATTCATTCACATGGCCAGTCTGACGCGTCATATGCGTCGTGCCCACAATCGCCGATTCGTTCCTGATGCGCAGCGCGAAAGCGAGAACGTCGAGTGTCCTATTTGCAAGTGTATCTATTTACGATCGTCGTTGGCGGTGCACATGCGCGTGCACAACGGCGAACGGCCGTACGAGTGTCAGGTATGCTCCAAGGCGTTCAGCACCAAGTGGAATCTACAGTTGCACAAGTGGACGCATGCGGCACGCAGCACCAAGCCGTTCAAGTGTAATCAGTGCAGCGCGGCCTTTTATCGTCACAGCGACTACACGGCGCACATGAATTCCCACCGTAACGTGCGTCCGTACACGTGCAACTATTGCGGCGCGCAGTTCATCCGCAAGTACAACTGTCTGCGACATGTCAAGGAGCACGAGGAAAACAAGGCGTACACGTGCGACGTATGCAACAAGACCTTCCATCGCTCCTACTATCTCAAGGAGCATCTGCGGGTGCACTCGGGCGCGCGACCGTACACGTGTCACATATGCGGCAAGTCCAGCGGCACCAAGTCCAATCACAACAAGCACGTGCGAATCCATCACGCGCGCGAGCCTGTAAATACCGAAAATTAAATAAGGATCGTCTACTACACACACTTTTTTTTTTATCGCAGTCGCGAGACGAATTGGACAATCCGGTCCCGAGTTTGCCCCGCGCGCTGTACTTATGCGCGAAATTTAATAGCAAGTGTTCAGAGACTGGGATTATATTTTTACGCTTTAATCGAGTATCGAGATCTCGATTTAATATCTCGGCAAGCTCGGTTTTCGACGCTGCGGACACTGTTTCGTGCCCGTGCACGCACGAAACACTCTAAATATATATTAACTAAACTCGTCTCGAGAAATTACAAAACGACGCCAGCATTGAATCTGGTTTCATCTTAACTTGGCACGGCATGAATCCCCAGGAACATGTTTGCTAACTGATTTGCTAGCGATTTTTGCTGTCCTTTCTCTATATTATAGCTACAATTACTCGGGACTAAAGAATTTAGTTAATTGTAAGATTATTTAGCACGGATCGACGCATGACGTCGATCGTTTTATTGTACTCGATCTGAGTACTCGTTCGCGTAACTCACACACAGAGGGACATGTAACGAATATGTGTGCGATTGTACCGCGTACATGCGCCGATGACAATGATGGGATTAAATCACGTTAAAAGTGAAGCAGTGAGTCTACTATCATGACTTATTCGATTTCATATAAGTGTATACATATGTACACATTTTTAAATATTACATACATATTTTTAAATATTATTACTAAAAAACATAGAGAACGATGAGTGAAAAAGAACTGATTTTTGTTTAAAAAGTATAATATAAATTATATATGTAATGTTATGTTTTTTGAATCGCTAAATACGATAGTAATATTTTTATCTTTCTAAAGTGGTGGAAAATATTGAAAATGATTAAAATTCGCAGAAGAGAGATCAAAATCAAGTTACTTTTTTTTTAAATAATTAACGACATATATGTTCCAATTATTTAATTATTTATCACTTTATTTCTTTATTGAAAAAGAAACACTAAACAAATACTTAAAAGTTAAAAAATTTTAATATTTGAAATGCCAAATTAAAAAAAAAGAAAGTTTAATTTAGATAAGAATGAAAGTTATTTATTTAGAATGTCAAAGGCACACGCATGATAGAATTAACAATGATTTTATATATATCGCAATGCTTAAAATGTCTTATTATAAGACAATTTTGGATAAATAAAAAAAGACAATAAATAAATCAACAAGATTAAGAAGCATTATTGAGGTCCAATTTTGAGATGTTTTTTTTAATATTTAATGGAAAAAAGTTGTAAGAAAATAAACTTTAATAATTAAATAATTGGAACAAATTTATTATTAATTATCATTAAGAAAAACTTGCTCGACACTTTTAGGGCGAATTTTTTTATTAATATTTAGATGAATGAAAATATTATTATTGTGTATTCAATGACTCGAAAAACATACCCTTAACACATGACTAATTAAACTATATTTAAAAATTTTTGTATGGACATATACACTTATAAAATCAAATAAAAATCTTTGTAGTTTATCCAGTGCTTCAGACTCAATGATGACTTAATCCCATTAATGCCGTCGACGCGTATATATAACATTCTTTCAATAAGAAAATTGATTATCTTTATTAATTTTTATTTGTCATATTGATTTTGCCCATCGTCTTTTTTATATATCCGAAAGTGTCTTACAGTAACACACTTTAAGCATTGCCATACGCGTAGAATAAAAAACGGAGGCGTTATTAACTCTGTCATCCGTGCAGTTTAATTCTAGATAAGTAACTTTTATTATATCTAAAGTTTCCTTTTTCTTTTTTATTGAAATGCTGTTATATATCATTAATTTTTTGTTATTGACTGCGAGATATCTTTATTTCTAAGAAATTCATCGCTACATTATTTGATATGTGCATGATAAAGTGTATGATGATTAAATTACTTTAATATGTGATTTAGTTTAATTTGATGGAAAGCACTTTAATCCTTAGATATCCAAATATTTAAAAATATTATATGTATCATGCAAGGTATTCTAAAGATAAAAATTTTGTCATTTCATAATATTTGATTCTATTTAATTTTGTTATTTTATAATAATTTTGAAATTGAAAACGTGGATACATTTGTACATACATTAATTCTGTTATCGGCTATGTGTGTTGCATGTTGCATAATTGTTTTATTTATTTGTTAATTTAAAGGAAAATAAATACAAATATTTGTATTTCAGGATTAACAAATTATATAAGATGATTTAAAGATTTTTTTTATATTCTATATTAAAAAGAAATTATATATTGAAATTAGCATATTAAATTTCAAACAAATTTTATGTTTATTACAATTAGTTCTTTTTTGTTTTATTTCTTTTCGTGCTTAAAAAAGAAAACATGATCCCGCAAAGATATCTAAGGATTAAACAGAGAGAGAGAGAGAAATTGTTGTTTATATATTCGTATTATCAAGCAATCTTGATTATACAGGGTTGGGATTTTATTATGTTACGTGCTATGTTTGTGAACATTTGCATGCTGTGTAGGTCCAGTGACTTGAGACTTTCATTATCCTAAGCTAATAACAAATTTTTAATAAAGATAAACTATTATAATATATGTCACAAAAAAATTCTTGAATAGTTCTTGCGAAGGAGAAACTACGCAATGAAGAAACACGTTTGCCAACTAATAGTATAATTATTATATAAAGCTAATTAATCCAATTCATACTTACAAAGATATGGAGCACTTTTACATGTCGATGGTTGTAAAAGTTTTTTTTTTACGATATCTATTTTACATAAAAAGTGTGCAGGTTCTTGCACATTGTTTGCCTCTATGTAAGTATGAGAACAGCTCGTATGGATTGCGTTCAATATTCTATGTAAGGGCCTATGAACTAATATTATGACTATCGACTATCACATAATAGTTACGTATTTTTTAGTTGTTATTCTTCTATATTTATATATTTTGCAATATGTGTATAAGGCCGTATTTTTTATTGGTTACTATAATTCCAAGACTGATCGGTGTTGGTTCGTCATATATTGCTCTCTAATACAAATCAAAATAGTTACATTTCTCAGTTTTAGTTTGATATGTTAATGTTTTTGTTGCAACAAGCAATAATATTGTTCCTTGAAAAATAGGATGTAAATCCAAAAAGAATCATAAATTCACTCTTTTAAGGTATATCTCTCAAAGAAATATTTTACCACAAGTTTTGTTACATTAAATTTCATATAAAAATTTGTGTGTGAAATAATAGGGAGATGTTTCTTGATTTAAATATGCATAATATTTATATGTGAAACTATATTAAGCTTTTTACTGCAAAAACTATATTAATTTTTTAAATATATTATGTTATTACATTATTATTTAAGCAAGTTTTAAAGTTTATTATATTAGTCACATATGAAAAAACTCAACAAAATCGAATATTTTGGATTTACTTTCTTCTGATTCTCACTGCGATTAGCATATAAAAAAATCATATGCTACTAATAAAATTAGAAAAAAAGGTGTTATAATATAGATATATGACATTATTAAAAATTAAGCAGATAGTTATGAATATAAGGAATGGAGAATAATTTGGCATCTGAAAACAGAAATATCTGATAAATTATATTTGACAAATTATTGGGAGAAAAATTTTTCATTTCTTTTTGTTTGTTTGTTATTTTGATATAAGAGAGCAATATTAAAGAGAGGATATAGAGCTATCTGAAATAATATGTTAGAT